TAATTAAACATTTATTGAGCAGCTCTTCTTTGCAAAAGGCTATTCTGTGCTGTTGACCTGATACAAGGGTTTAATAGTTTTATATTTTCAAAAACATAATTACCTTCTTCCCTGACTTTAATTCCTTCCTGTGAGAGTTCAGACTGTTAATTTGATAGAGTACCTCAGAATGGTCATCTCATTCAGTATTTTGTTCCTAACAAAGAACTGCTCTAAGAGTAGATATGAATAACACTTTGCGTCCTAGCACAAGGCAAGGCACGTAGGGTGGGCACTGCATAAATAAAAGAGGTTGCATTAAATATTACGTATTCTTAAAGTTTGTGAGATACTTTCATACATATATTATTTCAGTTTGGAAGAGAAACAGGCAGTTTTTTAACCACGTTTTGTATGGAGTGAATATTTATACATTTAATTTTGAGAGTGTGAGAACAACCTCTGTGTTAGTTTCCTAAGGATCTTGTAACAGATTACTGTGGGTTGGGTGACGTAAAACAACAGAGGTTTATTCTCTCATACCTCTGGAGGCTAGACGTGAAACTCCCTGTGTGAGCAGGACTGCACTCCCTCTGGAGGCTCGGAGGGAGGAACAGTCTCATGCGTCTCCTGTAGCTTCTGGAGGTGTCTATGGTCTTCATATTCCTTGGCATATTCCTCTCTTCCCTAGATGTCTGTCCAAATTTCCTTCCACTTAGGAGAACACTGGTCACTTAATTAGAGCCTGTGCTAATCCAGTGTGACCTCATTTTAATTGAATCTTCAAAGACCCTATTTCCAAATAAGTGCATATGAATTTTTAGGGGAGGCTTTTCACCCCATACAACCACATTCTGTGCGTGTTCAGTAATTTAAGAAATAACCCACTAGTATTATCTATGGAGTTCCTCTACCTACGTGGAGGTAATTAAGTTCAGAGAAATTGCACGAATGTCCGATGGGATGAGGATCAAACTATCTTAGTCATGTCATGTATAAAAAAATGAGAGAGATGTTCTCAAGTTTTTAAACATTTCAGCAAAAATATTACAGGGTCCAAAAATAGAACTTACACACACACACACACACACACACACACACACA